AAGCAGCCTGTGAGAATGGCACCAGTTACCATTGCACTGCAGAGCAGCTCTCTGCTCCCTCCCTCCCTCTCTTCTGTGTCCTGTGGGCTCCCCCTGTGCCATTTTGCCACTTTTGGGGTGTGCCAATGTGTGGTTTTGGTATCTGCCTGCAGAGCAACAGAGAGAATGAGTTCTACAGCAAACTGGCCAAGCTGCACCTGGAGAAATACAACTTCCCTGTGGAGATGATCCTCTGCCTCCCCAACGGCACGGTGGTAAGGCTGGGCTCCTCCCATGGAGTCTGTTCTCTGCAGGGTCTCCCATTCCTGGGACTGCTCCTGAGCCTTTGTCTCTCCACCTAGAAATCTGAAACAAATGTATTTTAGTTCAGAGACAGAACAGCAGCAGCTCTGGGCAGGGGCAGAACAGACTTGAACCAAGTGTGATTCCTCACTGTCCCTGAGCTCTGGGAAGCCACTGTAGCTTTGTTTCCTGCACCCATGGCCCTTTGTGCTCATCCTTCGAAGAAAATCTCCTGATCAGCACCTTCCAGCACATTGATCTCCCCAGACTGGTCACAGCAGATCAGCCTTAGTGAGCCCACACGCTCTGTCTCTGCTGGGCTGGGCTAATCCTGCCCAGACACCAGCTGGTCACAGCTGCAGGGTCCCCTCACTGTCCCCATGAGGCTCTGGGCTGTGACAATGGCTCAGTGTCCCCCTTTCCCAGCTCTGTGGGGCAGCAGGCAGTGCTGGGAGCTCAGGTGCACCCCAGGCTCCATCTCCCCAGCTCCTGCTCACAGACTTGAGCTGAGCCTCCATGGTTTTTCCCACATCATCTTCTTCTTAACCTAAGCAAAGGGTCAGCACCCTTGGGGAAAGATCACACATTTTTCTCTGACTCTGAAATTCAGACCCAAATTCTGGTTCCTGAATTAGCACTTGGAAATAATTAATATTCTGTAGGAGCTGTTACAGCCTTGTCAGCTCTGTGCTGGCTGCAGGCCAAGGCAGGGGATGGGCAATTCTTCTGACCCTTAGAAGTCTCCTCTCATCTGTTTTCTTTGCCAGATTCACCACATCAATGCCAACTATTTCCTGGACATTACTTCTATGAAGCCTGAAGATGTTGAAAGCAGCATCTTTAGTTTCTCAACCAATTTTGAAGACCCTTCAACTGCAACTTACCTCCAGTTCCTGAAGGAAGGGCTGCACAGAGCAAAACCATACCTGCAGCCCTAAACGCAGGCACCTGAATGCCCCACTGAGATGGCCAAAGACTTCAGAGATCTATTTTGGTTACAGCAAATCCTCCTCATCCCCGTGCCAGACGTTGGTGTTGAACTGCAGGCAGTGCCAGGCTGGTGCTGTGCTCTGGATCTTGGTTTGAGCCTGAGTTCCTGCTCAGTTCAGGCACATTTCCACAGGAGTGCAAATAATCCATTCCCAGGGCACCTGCCTGGCTGTGCCACCCACCCTCATTTCTTTGCAGCTCCTGTTAAGCCTGGTGGAACTGGTGCACCCCAGAAGTGCTGATCTCCAGGACTTGCTGAGTGCAGGGAGCAGCACTGCCATTGTGACCAAACACTCGTGCTGAGGACAGAGCCACAGCCCTGGGCAGCTCCCTGCTCCCCTGGGGGCCAGCCTGGTGTCCTGGGCAGCTCTGGACACTGACAGTGACAATCTGTGTGACAGGACTGTGGCAGCCCTGAGCAGCCCCCAGCGCCCTGTGTGACCTGGTGGCCTCGCTCAGGCAGGGTCTGTGCCCCAAGGGTGGCACAGGGATGCCAGAGTGGGCACCAGGGCATCAGAGGGGTCAGGTGAGGATCAGTTTGAGCCCCCAGGAGCTCCCCCAGTGACCCCAGGCTAAAGGACACAGCAGTGAGCAGTGTCCCACCCATCCATCCCTCCCAGGGCTCCCTCCCCAGCAGCTCTGGGAGCTTCTCCCTGGTGCTCTGTCCCTCCTTGCTTTGAGCTTCCAGGTTGTGCTGGGTGAGGAACCATGAAGTTCCCTCTGGGAACTGCCCTGAGATCCTCACCTGGGTGAGGACTGGGCAGTTCTAAAAGCCAGAAGTACAAAAAGATCTTTTCAGCATTTTTTTCCAAAGAGATTGTTCAGACATGAAGCCATTATCCCTTACCTGAAGCCACCCTGAGCAGTTGCTCCTACTCTGTGCCAATGCCTGGATACAGAATGAGCATCACTTTGTAATTTGGAGAAGGAAGGGTTAAGTGAAACGGGTTTTAAGGCATATTCCCACAGACATGTGAGGGGACAAAGCATCCTCAGCAGCCAGCCCTGGCTGGTGATGCTTTTTCTGCTCTCTGAAGCACAATTTTGTTGGACCAAATCAAATTAAGGGAAAAGCCTTTTTTTTTTATTTTTTAATTTTCCTGACGAGGTATTTTCAGTCCTGGGAGGAGCCTGGTGGTGGCAATTACCCTGTCCCCTCCCTGCCCCAGCCCTCCTGTCCATCCCTGAGCCTGGGGACTGAGCTTAGCTGCACCTCTGGGCTGGACCAGTGTCACTTCACTAATTGCTCTAGTGAGGTTAATTACTGACCCGGGATGATTCTCAGTGTTGGCTTTGTAACTATGCATTAGCTCTGCACTTTGTCACACCCCAGTGGGACAGGCTGGGCTCTGGCAGCACTGCAGAGTTCTGTCAGTCCCTGGGGAGCACTGCAGAGTTCCTTCAGTCCCTGGGCAGCACTGAGGAGTTCTGTCAGTCCCTGGGGAGCACTGCAGAGTTCTGTTAGTCCCTGGGCACCACTGCAGAGTTCTGTCAGCCCTTGGGCAGCACTGCAGAGTTCTGTCAGTCCCTGGGCAGCACTGCAGAGTTCTGTCAGTCCCTGGGGAGCCCTGCAGAGTTCTGTCAGCCCTTGGGCAGCACTGCAGAGTTCTGTCAGTCCCTGGGCAGCACTGCAGAGTTCTGTCAGTCCCTGGGCAGCACTGCAGAGTTCTGGCAGTCCCTGGGGAGCACTGCAGAGTTCTGGCAGTCCCTGGGCCCTGGCTGGTGAATCTTTTTCTGCTCTCTGAAGGACAATTTTGTTGGACCAAATAAAATTAAGGGAAAAGCCTTTTTTTTTTTATTTTTTAAATTTTCCTGACGAGGTATTTTCAGTCCTGGGAGGAGCCTGGTGGTGGCAATTACCCTGTCCCCTCCCTGCCCCAGCCCTCCTGTCCATCCCTGAGCCTGGGGACTGAGCTTAGCTGCACCTCTGGGCTGGACCAGTGTCACTTCACTAATTGCTCTAGTGAGGTTAATTACTGACCCGGGATGATTCTCAGTGTTGGCTTTGTAACTATGCATTAGCTCTGCACTTTGTCACACCCCAGTGGGACAGGCTGGGCTCTGGCAGCACTGCAGAGTTCTGTCAGTCCCTGGGGAGCACTGCAGAGTTCTGTCAGTCCCTGGGCAGCACTGCAGAGTTCTGTCAGTCCCTGGGGAGCCCTGCAGAGTTCTGTCAGTCCCTGGGGAGCCCTGCAGAGTTCTGTCAGTCCCTGGGCAGCACTGCAGAGTTCTGTCAGTCCCTGGGGAGCACTGCAGAGTTCTGTCAGCCCTTGTGGGGCTTCCATCCGTGCAGGGCTCCAGCCTTTGGGTTCCCACTGTGTCTGTGTTTATTCTCTCATGAGCTCCCCGCAGCCCCTTGGAGCTCTCTCGGGATGGGCCCGGACAGTGGCAGAGGAGCCCAAAAGCCACCCCCGAGCCGGAGCAGCCTGGGGCGTCCCGAGGGGACCCGTCCGTGTCCCTTTCCCCTTCTCCCCTGCCGGGGGTTCTCCCCGTTCCCTCTGTCGGTCTCCGGTGAGCGGCTGTCGCTGCCGTCCCTCCCGTGCCTGGTGACGCCCTGGCCCGAAACCCGCGGCGGGCCCGGGCCGATGTCGGCCGGGAGGGGCGGCGGAGCGGCCCCGGTAAAACCATCCGGTAAAACCATCCGGTAAAACCATCCGTGCATCCTCAGCTCGGCCTCGCTCTCCTTCCTGCGCCGGGGCTGGGGGCGAGTGGGGCGCGCCCGGGGTGTCCCCAGTGTCCCTTTATATCGAGGTGTCCCCAGTGTCCCTTGGCAATGGGGTGTGCCCAGTGTCCCCCTGCACCGGGGTGTCCCCAATGTCCCCTTTACACCGGGGTGTCCCCAATGTCCCCCTGCACCGGGGTGTTCCCTTGCACCGGGGTGTCCCCAATATTCCCCCTCCACCGGGGTGTCCCCAATGTCCCTTGGCACCGGGGTGTGCTCAGTGTCCCCCCTGCACCGGGGTGTCCCCAATGTCCCTTGGCAATGGGGTGTGCTCAGTGTCCCCCTGCACCGGGGTGTCCCCAATGTCCCCTTTACACCGGGGTGTCCCCAATGTCCCCCTGCACCGGGGTGTTCCCTTGCACCGGGGTGTCCCCAATATCCCCCCTCCACCGGGGTGTCCCCAATGTCCCTTGGCAATGGGGTGTGCCCAGTGTCCTCCTGCACCGGGGTGTCCCCAATGTCCCTTGGCACCGGGGTGTGCTCAGTGTCCCTTTACACCGCGATGTCCCCCTGCACTGGGGTGTCCTCCTTTACACCGGGATGTCCCCAGTGTCCCCCTGCGCCGGGATGTCCCCGGTGTCCCTTTACACCGGGGTGTCCTCAATGTCGCCCCTGCACCGGGATGTGCCCCTGCACCGAGGTGTCCCCAAAGTCCCCTTGCTCTGGGGTGTCCCTGGATGTCCCCATGTACCCCGGTGTCCCCAGTCTCCCCCTGCACAGGGGTGTCCCCAATGGCCCTTTACACCGCGGTGTCCCTAATGTCCCCCTGCACCGGGGTGTCCCCCCTGTCCCTGTCCCCTCGCTGTCCCTGTCCCCTCGCTGTCCCTATCCCCCCCCTGTCCCCATGCTGTCCCTGTCCCCGCTGTCCCCATGCTGTCCCTGTCCCCATGCTGTCCCTGTCCCCGCTGTCCCTGTCCCCGCTGTCCCCATGCTGTCCCTGTCCCTGTCCCCGCTGTCCCCATCCTGGCCCGGCCCGGCGCAGGCGCTGCGCCCCGGAAGGCGCGGGGCGGGTTCTGGTTCTGGTTCCGGGCGATGGCGGCGGAGCGGCCGCGGCCAGCGCTGGGAGCGGGCCCGGGCAGGTAGCGGGGCCGGGCCGGGGAGCCGGGCCGGGCCGAGCCGGGCCGTGCTGAGCCCTCGTTGTGTGTTGCAGTGAGCGAGCGGAGCGGGTGCGATGAGCGGCCGGCGCTGAGCCAGCGGAGATGGACGCGGAGGCCGTGAGTGACACGGGCCGGGACACCGGGCACTGCCCGGACCCTGCCCCGGACACTGCCCCGGACACTGCCCAGACACTGCCCGGACACTGCCCAGACACTGCCCCGACACTACCCCGACACTACCCCGACACTGCCCGGCACTTCCCCCGGCAGCTCCGAGCCCCGGGAGCTGCCCCAGAGCCTTCCCTCGGCGCCTTTCCCCGGCAGCAGCTCCCGGGCATTGCCCCAGCCCCTGTCCCCAGGCAGAGCTCTGTCCCCTCCCTGCCCCTGTCCCCAGGCAGAGCTCTGTCCCCTCCCTGCCCCTGTCCCCAGGCAGAGCTCTGTCCCCTCCCTGCCCCAGGCAGAGCTCTGTCCCCTCCCTGCCCCAGGCAGAGCTCTGTCCCCTCCCTGCCAGCCCAGAGGTTCAGTCTGAAGGGCCCATCAGGAATTTCAGGTGTCAGCAGTGAGCAGGGCTCAGGCACAGAGTGCAGGACGAGCTGCAGCACTGAATCGATTGCTGGGGTGCTGTGGGCTGAGCTTTGTCACTGTGCTGCTCTCCGTGCCTTGCGCTCTTCCTGCCACAGGAGCTCTCCTGGGCAGGGCACGTCACCCTTTGGGCCCAGCTCAGAAATGTCCTGAGAGCTCTGAACCAGCTGCTGTTTCTGGGAACGCTCTCCAGGGCTGCTCCCCGTGGCCCTGGGCTGGGACAGGCTCCGGATAGAATTGTCACTTGCTGTCACCCAGGCAATGCTCAGCTCATCCCAGGTCAGCTGGGAGCGCTGGAGGTGGTTCCTCAGCAGCATGTGCAGTGAGTGTCTCCAGGGAAGGAGGCTCACAGCTGCCCCGGGGGATTTCACAATGTCAGTGCTAAAGGTGGTGTGAAAGCAGGAGTGTCCCTTGAGTGACACTTTCTTTTGGTGTCATTTTCCTCCTGGGCCCTTGTTGTGTGGCTGTTTTCCTCCTCTGGCCAGTTTTCCTTTGTGAAAATGCCTGTTGACAGTGCCTGGTACCGAGTGCTTTCAGTTTTCAGTCTAACACCCGTGTCCAAAATGCCCCTGCACCTGCCTGGCTGTCACCAGCTCAGCTGAACACAGTTCTGTGAGATGGGGACCTCAGTTATCACCAGTTCTCAGTTACAAGTGAAGAGATAAAAAGTCAGGAATCAGACTCTGGCAGTTGAGGAGAATTTCCAGTTGAATGAATTTCAGAAGGGCCCTGCCTGGAGGTGCTGACTGTGTGCTGTGGTCCCTGCAGACCATCCCCATCTGGCAGAACAAGCCCCATGGCTCAGCTCGCAGCGTGGTCAGGATGATCGGCTCCAACCTCCCCCTGAAGCCCTGTCCCAGGGCCACCTTCGAGGTGAGTGACCCCTGCCCTGGGGGAGCTGGGGCAGTTCCAGGCACTGCATCAGCTGCTGTTTTGTCCCCACACATCTGCAGAGTTGTAGCCACAAAACCTGCACCAGTACAGTGAAGTTTAAGAATTTTTTTTTAAATTTCTTTTTTCTTTAATTCTGTTTTTCTAAACTGATCACTGGCAGCTCGAGGAAATCCCTGCCCAGGCAGTGTCTGAGCTGAGGGAGATGGAAAGGTGGAGCTGCTGCCCCAGGGTTTTGCTGTGTGACCTCCAAGGGACCTGGTGCCCTCTGGGCCTGTTCCCAGGATTGTGGAGTCCCTGACGTCACCCTTGGAGCTCAGGGCTGGCACTTGGCATGGCACAGGGTGGCACGTGGCCTTGGCAGCCTGGCCTGCATCAGGTGTCCCCTCCTGCCCCACTCACACCTCAGGAAGGAGCAGGAGCTGGCCCAGGGAAACACAAAGGATTCATCTCCCAGCTCCAAAAACCTGAAGAATTGTGCAAACAAAAGGAAACCTGCTGGAATTGCTGTTGTGCCTGTGCCAGCCACAGCTGCTCATGGCACAGGGGCTCTGAGCACAGCTGGGGCAGCTCCAGGAGAGCAAAGCCTGTCTCTCAGCAGCGTTTCCTTCCTGCCAGGTGCTGCCCAGTGTCTCAGATCTGTATCTGGGTGAGGTGCCCCCCGTGCCCACCCTGGCTGACATCGTGTGGATCGCAGCGGACGACGAGGAGACCTACGCCAGGGTCAGGTTGGTTTTCCTCTGCTGCTCTCTGGCTCAGAGCTCAGGCCAGGCTCTGCTCAGCTGACCACAACTTCCAGTCCCCTCAGGGTCTGGCGTGGTGCCTCTTGAAAGACATTTTTCCCCAGAGAGGGGGGAAAAAAATGACAAAGTACCCGGAGAGGAATTCCTGTAGGAGGTGCCAGGAGCCATGTCCTGTGTCACTCTCTGGTCTGTGCACAGGATCCCCTGCTCCAGGGTGGTTTTTGGCCAGGAAGTGGAAGGGTTGAGTTCTCCCAGGACTGAAATGCCCTGTCCAGCCTGGCCTTGGACACTTCCAGGGATCCAGGGGCAGCTGCAGGGAGCACCTCTGAGGGTACACAGAGGCTTCATTTGTTTTGTTGGAGGCTCTGCTGCCCTCAGGGGAGGCCAGGCTTTGTCATGGACAGGTTTGGACTTGGGGACTGACAGGTTTTTGTCCCCAGAAGTGACACTCGCCCGCTGAAGCACAAGTGGAAGCCGAGTCCCTTCACGGTGATCCAGAGAAACGCCTCAGTGCCCAACCTGAGGAAGCAGGAGGAGAAGCTGCTGGCCCTGAAGAAGCCTGGCTTGCCAGCCCTGAGCCGCACCACAGAGCTCCAGGATGAGCTGAGCCACCTGCGGAGCCAGATCGCCAAGATCGTGGCTGCAGACTCAGGTGGGCTCAGTTCCTGCTGGGGGCTGAGCTCTGCCCCCTCCGGGCTCCCTCAGGGTGGGGTGCTGGCTCTGGGGGCAGCTCGGGGACCGTGGTTTTGGTTTTACACTCTGTTGTGCTGAGGAAAAGCTGTCCTGTGTGCCTTGCTGTGAGTTCACCCACCCACCTGTGGTTTTAGTTTTACATTCTTTGTGTGGAGGAAAAGCTGTCCTGTGTGTCTTGCTGTGAGTTCACCCATCCACCTGTGTTTTTAGTTTTACATTCTTTGTGTGGAGGACAAGCTGTCCTGTGTGTCTTGCTGTGAGTTCACCCACCCACCTGTGGTTTTGGTTTTCCACTCTGTTGTGCTGAGGAAAAGCTGTCCCACATGCCTTGCTGTGAGTTCATCCATCCACCTGTGGTTTTAGTTTTACATTCTTTGTGTGGAGGAAAAGCTGTCCCATGCCTTGCTGTGAGTTCACCCACCCACCTTTGGTTTTAGTTTTACACTCTGTTGTGCTGAGGAAAAGCTGTCCCATGCCTTGCTGTGAGTTCATGCATTCACCTGTGTTTTTGGTTTTACACTCTGTTGTGCTGAGGAGAAGCTGTCCCATGCCTTGCTGCCAGTTCATCCATCCACCTCTGGTTTTAGTTTTACACTCTGTGGTGCTGAGGAGAAGCTGTCCCACCTGCCTTGCTGCCAGCTCACCCACTGATCTGTGTTTTTAGCCTTGCTGCCAGTTCACCCCCCCACCTGTAGTTTTAGTTTTACACTCTGTGGTGCTGAGGAGAAGCTGTCCTGTGTGCCTTGCTGCCAGCTCACCCCCTGATCTGTGTTTTTAGCCTTGCTGCCAGCTCACCCCCCACCTGTGTTTTTAGCCTTGCTGCCAGCTCACCCACTGATCTGTGTTTTTAGCCTTGCTGCCAGCTCACCCCCCCACCTGTAGTTTTAGTTTTACACTCTGTGGTGCTGAGGAGAAGCTGTCCCACCTGCCTTGCTGCCAGCTCACCCACTGATCTGTGTTTTTAGCCTTGCTGCCAGTTCACCCCCCCACCTGTAGTTTTAGTTTTCCTCTCTGCGGTGCTGCCGCGAAGCTGTGTTTTTAGCCTTGCTGCCAGCTCACCCACTGATCTGTGTTTTTAGCCTTGCTGCCAGCTCACCCCCCTCCCTTGTTCTGTGCTGCAGCCTCGGCCCAGCTGACCCCAGAGCTGTTATCTCCGGGGAGCTCCAACGCCTCTTCTCCCGTCCATTGCTTCGGACCCTCCTTCCAGTCCACCACGTCCTTTGTGATCAGCGACATCACGGAGGAGGAGGCGGAGCTGGAGAGCCCCGAGCCGCCCTCGGTGGCCGAGCTGCCGCCGCTGTGCCCCGCGCCCGAGGCCCGGCCCGAGCCCCCCGAGCAGGAGGACTCGGTGTCCCTGTCCAAGGCCAGCAGCTTCGCCGACATGATGGGCATCCTCAAAGACATCCACAGGATGAAGCAGAGCAAAGATTTGTGAGTGTTTCCTGCAATTCTCTTTTGGTTCTGGGTCAGATCCCTGCGGAGCCGGGGCCTGGTGCTGCCTGCTGGGGCTGCCCCGTGTCCTTCGTTCTGGGGGAAATGCCTTTGGGAGCAGAACTTGGAAACTCATCCCTGGGCTTTTTGCCTTTCTGGGATAGGAAATAGTGGAGAATTTTCATGGGGGTAACTTTATTTATCATTTATTTTAAATTATAAATACTGTGTATTATTTTAATATATAAATATATCACTATTTTTATATAAAATATATAATTTATATAAATATAAAATGTATAATTCATAAATCTATATAATAATAAAATATAAATATAATTATATATTAAAATATATATTATATAGAGATATATAAAATATATATAATTTATATATTTATATATAAATTATATATAATTTATTTAAAATTAATTTATTTTAAAATATCCACGAGAATTTTCCTGGATAGGAAATCATGGAGGGAAATTTAAACCATTTAAACGTTTGGCCAGCTTGTTCACCTGACAGAAAAGCTGTGTTTGCCCAGCTGCAAGGCAGCCCTGTGTGTGCTGGCAGCTTTCAGAGTGAGGGCAGTGCTGCTCTCAGCCCTCCTCCCACTCCCGGGCAGTTGGGAAGCTCAGCAGCTTTTCCAGCCTGGAGCACTCAGGGATTTAACTCTTGGAGCTCCTCAGCTTCTCTGATTCTCCCTCTGGGCGTGGGCAGGGTGAGTTTGCACTTGTCTCACCAGGAGTTCTGATCATGAGAACTCCTGAAGCTGCTCCAAGGCCAAGATCCTGCCCAGCTGGGGAAGTTCTTCCCGGCTTTTGGCCGTGCCACCTGCCTGTCACAGCTCAGCTCTCAGGCTCCACGCTTCCCCTTCTGCTCTGTGAGATTCCTGGCCAAAAATACCGCTCTGGCTGGGGGGCTGTGCACAGCTGCTGGTTCTTAGTTTGGTTTGAGAGGAATCAGATTCTCAGCGCTGAAAAAAATTCAAGTTAGATGAGAGGAACAAGCTCAGCTTCCCCAGCCAGAGCATCAGGGGTGTCACTGCTCCATCCCTCCCAAAATTCCCCCTTGGCTCTGCTTTTCCTGAGGGGAGCTGCCACACAAAGGCTGAGCCATTTTTGCCCTCATCAGCCTCTCCTGCACACAGCAGTGATGGTCTGGGGTTATTGCAGCTTAATTAAAGCTGCCTGAAGAGTTGCAGGTAGCTGAAAAATTAAGTTAATTACTGATGTTCATTATTTGATGAGCTTTAATTCCTAATTCTGGTGCAGTTGTGGAGCAACCCCTGTGCTCCCCCAGCTGAACTGGGCAGCACTGGGAAGCCTGAAGAGGGTCAGGTGCTCTTCAAGAGGAGGAAAAAAGGTGCTTAAAGATGAAAAAGATGCTTGAAAAGATAATTACATCGATGTTGCTCTGCTGCTGCTGTGTGGGAGTCAGTGCTTAAACTCAGCCTTGTGTTTAAACTCAGCCTTTGTGTTTAAATTCAGCCTTGGAAGCTTCAGGAACAAATGAGGAGCTTGCAGAAATGTGCCTGATCCAGTGTCTGGTGGAAATATTCCAGGCTTTGGTTTTTTTGTCTTTGAGGAAGATAAAATGTCTTCCCATAATGTTTTCTGAGTGAGGAGGGGCTTCAGCTATGAAAAAGAAATAAAGCTCTGAGGTTGTTATTGCAGGTTGTGAACAAACCCATGGTACCTGAGGGAAAAGAGCTGAGGTTTGGCCTGCTGTGAAATAAATAATCCTCTGAAAGGAGCTGCTTGTGTGCACTTGCTGAAGGAGGCAGATTGCCCTGGGAACAGGAGAACTCGTGTAGTGGAAGGAATTCTGCACCAGCCCTGCTGTAAAATGCCTGGGATCTCCCCTGCTGAAACAGGGAAGCAGAAATCCAGAGTGCAGCAAAATTACTGAAAAAACAGAAACTTCCAGGGCTTCCCCCCAAACACCTCACTGAGGGTTGGTTAAATGGGGGGGATGGAGGCTGTGAAGAATTAATGAAGTTTTGGGGTGATTGCTTTGAGGATGAAATTTCCAGGATCCCCCTGGAGCCACAAAAGGAGCTGAATTTCCCCTTTTTGCTGTTTTGTGGTGTTCTTCTTGCACCTCCTCCACTTGTGACAGCATCTCATGATACAAGCTGCAGGAAAGCCCTGCAGAGAGTCCAGGCAGAGCTGTCAGGCAGGGATTTGGCAGGGATTTGGCTCTCTGTGCTGGCTGCAGTGGTTTCTGTGCTCCTCAGGATCCAGGCAGAGCTCTCAGGCAGGAATTTCTCTCTCTGTGATGGTTGCAGTGCTCTGTGCCCCTCAGGATCCAGGCAGAGCTCTCAGGCAGGAGTTTGGCAGGAATTTCTCTCTCTGTGTGCTGGCTGCAGTGGTTTCTGTGCTCTGTTCTCCTCAGGATCCAGGCAGGAATTTCTCTCTCTGTGCTGGCTGCAGTGGTTTCTGTGCCCCTCAGGATCCAGGCAGAGCTCTCAGGCAGGAGTTTCTCTCTCTGTGCTGGTTTCTGTGCTCCTCAGGATCCAGGCAGAGCTCTCAGGCAGGGATTTGGCAGGAATTTCTCTCTCTCTCTGTGCTGGCTGCAGTGGTTTCTGTGCCCCTCAGGATCCAGGCAGAGCTCTCAGGCAGGGATTTCTGTCTCTCTGCTGGCTGCAGTGGTTTCTGTGCCCCTCAGGATCCAGGCAGAGCTCTCAGGCAGGAGTTTCTCTCTCTGTGCTGGTTTCTGTGCTCCTCAGGATCCAGGCAGAGCTCTCAGACAGGAATTTGGCAGGAATTTCTCTCTCTCTCTCTGCTGGCTGCAGTGGTTTCTGTGCCCCTCAGGAACCAGGCAGAGCTCTCAGGCAGGGATTTGGCAGGGATTTCTCTGTGCTGGCTGCAGTGGTTTCTGTGCTCTGCCCCCAGGAGCCGCCCTTCCCTGAAGGAGGAGGACCCGGCCGTGCTCATCGCTGAGGTCCTCAGGAGGAAGTTTGCCCTGAAGGATGAAGACCTGGCCCTGAAGGAGAAGTGAAGCTGCTGCACTCAGCTCTGTAAGCAGAGTTTATGCTCCCACAAGCTCCTCACAGTAGCTGCCTCCTCCCAAGGGTCGAGCCTTCTGCCTCTTTTATTGACCAGACGTGGTTTGTGCGCCGGACACTTGGTTAGGAAATTGGATTTGATGTGTTTTCCATGTGTTGTTCTATTTAAGAAAAACCTTTTTAAGAAGATGGAAGCTCTTTTCCAGCTGTGTTTTGGTGTTGCTGGCTGGTGAGGACCTGCTGCTGGATGAAGTCCTTTGTAGCTGCACTTTTCCTTAGGTTCCAGCTGAGCACTGAGCTGTAAGGACAGACCCAGTTCCTGCCCAGTATGAACAGGACAGACCAGTCCTTTATCTGAGTGAGAGCTGCTGAGAACAAGCTCCTGAGAGCTTCCAGCTCTCTGGGGCTGTTGGATCATGGTGGGAAAAGGGGTTTTATTTCCCCAGCAACCCCCTGGTCTGAGGGATTCTGTGTGCCCTGGCTGTTCCTCGTCTCACAGATCAGCCCACACTTGCATGGCAGAATGGCCTTAATTTCCTGCCAGTAATTCCATGTCCCTGTCCCCCAGCCTGGGTTTTATTTCACCTCCCAAAGGTCTGCTCCTTGACCTGGCAGCAGTGCAAAGGGCCAGGAGGAGCTTGGCCTTGGCTGTGGCTGCAGTTCCCCCTCACTCAGAGCTCTCCCCCAGCTCCACGTTCCCTGCAGTGCCCCCCATGGCTGTATTTAAAGTATGATTTTTTTTTCCTTTCTATAAAATGGAGCCTTAATAAGACACTGATGGTCTGTGGGGTTGTTGATGTGCCCGGCTCGGGGTGGGGCTGCATCCCAGAAATTCGGGTGCCAGGGGCTCTCTTCATCCTCCTTGATGTCCTTGAGAAATCAAATCATCATCCCCACCTTAAAAATGAGTGACTTTTGTGGCAGAGAGGAGGAAGATGGAGGAATCTCCAGTTTTAGGGAGAGCTCCTCCCCTCCTGGGTGCACCCCAGAGCCCCTGGTGATGTGATCACTGTCCCTGTCCCCACAGGGCTCCTCTACACGAGGCTTTGGAGGATTTTGGGCCTGTCAGCAGCTCCTGCTCTGGGAACGAGCTCCCTGAGCAGCCTGGGCAGCACAGGGACACAGCCAAACCCTCAGAAACAAACTCCAAAACGTTTTATTTGGATTAAAGCTCAGAGAACAGAGGGGCTGGGGGCTGCACAAGGGGCTCACTCCCCACTGTGAGCACCCCCCGTGCTGCCAGAGCCAGGCTGGGCTCACTCACCAGTGCTTGATGACCCTGTTCCCTTCAGAGTCCTGTGTGAACAGGGGCTCAGAGCCCAGCTCCTGCTGCAGCTCCTGGGGCTGCCTGGGGCTGGGGCTGGCACTCCTGGGGACAGTCCTGAGGGGGCTGGGGATGGCACTCAGGGAGCTGGGGTGGGTCCTGAGGGGGCTGTGCCTATCCCTGAGGGGGCTGGGGATGGCACTCAGGGGGCTGTCCCTGTCCCTGAGGGGTCTGGGGCTGTCCCAGAGGGGTCTGTCCCTGTCCCCATCCCTGTCCCCGTGGGCAGTGACCCCGCTCCCCTGGCAGAAGAGCTGCCTGCGGGTCCCTGCTGGGAGCTGGCCCCGCTCCCGGAGGGGCTGAGCTGGCTCCGGGCTCTGGGCACAGCAGCAAAGCCCGGGGCCAGGGCTGGTGTCCCCAGCCCCAGGAAGGGCTGTCCCAGCAGGGGCTGTCCCAGCAGGGGCTGTCCCAGGAAGGGCTGTCCCAGCAGGGGCTGTGCCAGCAGGGGCTGTGCCAGCAGGGGCTGTCCCAGCAGGGGCTGTCCCAGCAGGGGCTGTCCCAGGAAGGGCTGTCCCAGGAGGGGCTGTCCCAGGAGGGGCTGTCCCAGCAGGGGCCGTCCCAGCAGGGGCTGTCCCAGCAGGGGCTGTCCCAGGAAGGGCTGTCCCAGCAGGGGCTGTCCCAGCAGGGGCTGTCCCAGCAGGGGCCGTCCCAGCAGGGGCTGTGCTGCAGGGCCGTGTTCTCCTGGGCCCTGGGGCCGTTTGTGCAGGGAGCAGCCGGGCTTTGCTGGCTTTGCAGCACCAGGAGCCCTCCCCAGCCCCACGGCAGGCTCTGCTCTGCCCCCGAGGCTCCTCCTGGAGCTCCAGGGCACCCAGAGGTGTTTGCCAGGCCGGGGCCGTGCCCTGCAGCCCCTGCTCAGCCCCAGGGGGCTCCTCCTGGGCCCCCTCCAGCCGTGGCATCCTCACGGGGCTGAGGTTTTCTTTGTCTCTTCCATCTGAAAACGACAGGGAATCGGTGAAAGCAGAGCCACTGCCCAGGGTCAGCCAGCCCCACAGCATCACTGCTGTCCCCTGCGTGTCCCCAGGGCCTGTCCCCAGCGCTGCCACCACCCCGGGGGTCCCCTGCCCTGGCACAGCCCCGGGGCTCGGCCTGGGGACAGCAGAGCTGCAGCTGCACTGCCAGGGCCAGCAAAAACCCAGAGTGCCCAAAGAGCCAGAGTGCCCAAAAACCCAGAGTGCCCAAAGAGCCAAAAACCCAGAGTGCCCAGAGTGCCCAAAAACCCAGAGTGCCCAAAAACCCAGAGTGCCCAAAAACCCAGAGTGCCCAAAAACCCAGAGTGCCCAAAAACCCAGAGTGCCCAAAAACCCAGAGTGCCCAAAAACCCAGAGTGCCCAAAGAACCAAAAACTCAGAGTGCCCAAAGAGCCAAAACCCAGAAATGCCCAAAGAGCCAAACCCCAGAGCTGCCCAAAGAGCCAAAACCCAGAGTGCCCAAAGAACCAAAACCCCAGAGCTGCCCAGCCCTGCCCTGGCTGACACAGGCACCAAGTCCCAGATTCCCCTCTGAAACAATTCCATAGAAAACCCAACTTTTACTTCTGAAACCATCCCATATAAATCCAAGTTTCACTTCCCGAATAATTCCATAGAAAACCCAAATTTTACCTCCCAAACAATTTCATAGAAAATCAAGTCTCACCTCTGAAACCATCTCACAGAAAACCCAAGTTTGCCTCTACAACCATTCCATGTAAATCCAAGCCCCCCGGGCCCCCCAGCTCCCCTCTCCTGGCAGTTCCCCTTTGCCCCGTGCCCAGGTTTGTGCCCGGCAGTTTTTTGGCTTTGTGCCCAGCCCGAGGGCAGCGCTGCCCCGGCGGGGCCGTGCCCGGTACCTGGCGGGGGGCTGAGGAAGCTGAGGATGGTTCTCTGCCCGTGGCCGGGCCGGGGCCGCAGCCCCAGGGCAGGGCTGGGCGCTCTGAGCCTGCCACCGAGGGGCTGAAACGGGAAAAAAATCCCAATGAAGACAAAAAAACGCTGGGGAGCTCATTGTGATAACGCTAAATAAGTCATTAATGTGATGCTGGCCAAGTCATCTGGTAATGACTGTTAATTATTCGTGATTACCAAAGCATCGGTCGTTGGGGTTGGAAATCTCAGAATAATAAATAATAAACAAAAATAATAAACTATAGATAATAATAAAATAGTAATAAATAATGCATGATAAATAGAATAATATATAATGTTAAAATATAATATAAAATACTAAATAATGAGAATTATAATAATTATTATTGATGATTATGGTCATAAAAAATTGGGGATATTTTATGGTTTGTGGGGTCCCCTCTGCCCCCCTGGGGATATTTTATGGATTTTCCCGCTTCCGGTTCCGGTTTTTTCCCGGTCCCGTTTTCCCGCTCGCGCCAGCCCCGCCCTCAACACGCGCTGCGCACGCGCTGCCCGCAGGGACGGACCAATGGGAGACGAGGAGCGGAGCCACACACGGTATGAGATCACGCCCACAAGCCCGGACCAATGGGAGATTAGGGGCGGGGCCACATGTGCCTCCCGCGCGCCACAAGATGCACTGCGCACGCGCTGCCAGCAGGGACGGACCAATAGAAGGTGAGAGGCGGAGCCACATGAGGGATGAGACCACGCCCACGCGGGCCTGCCTTATATAAGGCGCGGCGGCGGCGGGGCCTCCTCAGAGCGGCGGGAGCGGTATCGGCGGGATCGGTCTGTGGGGCTGGGGCGGGCCCGCTTTTCCCCCAGACCCGCAGCGGGATATCCGCACCCGCCTGTTCCCAGCCCTGACCCGCTGCTGGGGCTCCCCATGACACCAACCCCTCCCTCCTTTCCCTGCCTTCAGGGACAGGGCCCTGGCACCGCACGGGCAGCTCTGAACAGCTCCCTACAGGAGCGGCCTGAAGTGGTATTAAATTAATTTGTCACCGTAGTGGTTTAAACAGCCTCCCCTTGGGCTGTGTGCACGGTTTAGAGTCTAACGGGGGCCAGATGGCCTCTCCTCCTCTGGAGCTGGGAGACCTGGCAGCCTCCCAGAGCCTTCCCAGCCCAGCAGGGCACACAGACTCTTTGTTCCAACTGTTTATTCAGAGGTGAACTGACCCCGTGTACCATTCTGCGAGCAAGCTGGAACTTAGGCTGGATTTAAAAAGCATTAAAAGCATCTCTCGTTCCCTACAGAAAGCACTTGCTGAGTAGCAGTTCGTGAAGCAGCATCTGGGGGCTCGGGGCTGCATTTGGGCCGAGCTCATCTTTTCTTTACTCTTCCTTGAGGCCCAGCTTGTTCTTCACCCTGTGGGCCATGTAGGCGGCAGTGAGCACGGAGCAGCTGACGGTGACCAGGAACAGGGCGGAGAAGTCGTGAGCCGGGCCCCCCTGCAGGGAGGAGTAGATCTCCCTCCTGGACTCGTAGTCCAGCACCACGGCCTCGATCTGCGCCAGCGTGCACAGCACCAGGAACACGTGGAAGATCTGGTGGCTCTGCCCCAAGAAGTGACACTTGCCGGGGAACCACTTCTCGGGGTAGGGCTGCGAGAAGAAGAAGGCCCCGAGGAGGAAGAAGAGCACCTGGCAGCGGTGGTAGAGCAGCGCGGGGTCGGGGCGCGCGGCCGTGCAGATGCGGTGCAGCACGGGGCTGATGTCCAGCGCGTAGGCCAGCCCCGAGGGCAGCTCCTGGCACAGGCGGCCGGGCAGCGGGCAGCGCGGGTGGAAGCGGAACTTGGCGTAGCAGGAGCCGGCGCAGGACAGCCAGGCCAGCGCCGCCGCCAGCGGCAGGAAGAAGCCGCGGACGCGCCGGTGCCAGCCCGGCTCGATGGCGTAGTAGAAGTGACCCAGGGCGCTGCCGTACTGGTACACGGCCACCCCCACGTAGTCCAGGAAGAAGAAGCCGTAGTGCCAGAACTCGGACTTGGCCTGCAGCAGGTGCGCCAGGCTGCTGAAGCTCAGGTAGGTGATGGAGGCCGCCAGGATGAGGAGCAGCGGCCGGGCGTGCGCGTCCTGCCCGAAGTCCACGCGCTGCCAGAGGAGCTGCAGGCGCAGCAGCAGCGCCAGCGCGGCCGCCAGGTGCGACCACACGTTGACGGCCTCGTTGTGCTGCCGGAAGAGCGAGGAGAAGTAATAGCGCCAGGGCCGGCGCGGGGGCCGGTAGCCGCCGTGGATGTAAGGCCTCCAAAACACCGGCGGCACCTCGGCGCTGCTCACCGTGCCCGCCGGCGGCGGCCCCAGCAGCTGGGGCAGCTGCCCGACCTTGGTGAAGAGCTGGCTCAGCTTCTCCGTCAGCGCCGCGGCCATGGCGAGGCCGAGCCGCGCGTCCTCGGTCTGAAGAATGGCCTTCGGGAAGGAGAGGAGGTTTCGCTGCGGGGTGTGGGAAGGTTTTAGTGGGATGATGGACAAGCAGGGGGTGTTCAAATGTCTCTGGTTGGGGTTTTTGCCCTGTGGAATCCCCAGTGACAAAAAGGAGGCTGCAGGGACATTGAAGAGCCCCTGAGGTGCCTGGGCTGAGTGGGGAGCCCCAGGACACGAGGCTGGGGTGAAACGACAGTAATAAAACACCAGGACACATCAGTGCCTGGCTCAGCCCCTTCCCTGCAGTTTGGGGACAGCCAAACAAAGCAAGCATCCCAAACAAAGCTCCCAATCCTCCTGTGAACCGTTTGCAGTGTCTGTCCTTACAAATACCAACAAGTAACAGAGGCTGCAACTCCTGCGTTTGGAGTTTCGCTTCCTTTTTTCAGTTCCTGATTTTCAAAGCAGCCTCCCACGTCGTGGCCCTGCTGCACCACCAAAGTCCAGCAGCGAGCAGGAATTTCCATATTTACCTTTTGGAAGCTGCTGTCCTTACCCAGTGAAAGGCAGCCCTGCCAGCTTGTTCCACCTTCCCATAAAAACTTACTGCGATTCTTTACCTGCTCTTGCTCAGACAAGTCCCAGAGAAAACCTGGTTCACGTCCAGCTGCAGTGCTGCTCTGTGCCTCAGCCCCAGACAAGTGCCCTCATTTCAGGGACAGGAAAAGCTCTTAAAAGTTTGGGAGCAGGAGGAGGTGGGGATGGGACTGTTTGTTTTAAAAAACTCCGTAATTTCCTCATCAAAGTTAGGCTGTAACTCATTCCTGCCTGAATCCAAGGGGCACAGATGCAGAAAAAAAACCCCAAAAAAGGCTCTTTGCTGCTGCATTTCCCTCCCAAACGCCCTTTGCCCACCTGGCCGGCTGGGAGAAGCCCCCAGCCCCAGCAGCCTCCCCAGCTGGGGCAGCAGCTCAGCCCCCCGACCCCTCCCCAAAAGCCTCCACCTTTCTGGGGCTGCCAGGGGAAAATTCCCGCCGTGAACTCCTGACCCACAAGAGCCCCGAGCTGCCAGGGCAGAAGCAGAAAGTGCCAAATTTTTTGTTTTGACCTCAATCCCGCGGGCAGCCTGGCAGCAAACCCTGCCCGCAGAACTTGCCTCTGCCTCCAGGCGCAGGGGAGGGGGCTCAGCTCGACCCCGCTGCGGTTCCCAGAAGAGGAATTCCTGCGGGAAAGGCGGCCCGGGGAGCTGCGCTGCTTCCTTCAGCTCCTCCGAACTTGCGGGAGCAGGATTTAATCCGCCGAGCTCTTCGCAGCTACCGAGCCTCGAGCAACGCTCCGCTACGAGGGGAGCGCATCCTGGAAATCCTTCAAGCGCCTGGTACCCCAAAGAAAACCCTGAGCGCCCCAGGACGGAGCCGGGCGCCGCTGCCTCGGCCGCCCGCGTTCGCTCCGCGGCGTTTCCTGCGCCCAGCAGCGCCCACCCCACCCGCTGGATTTTTCTGTGATGATAAAGACTCGCCCCCGGCTGTTTACATCCCGCCGCACAGCGGCACAGCCTCCCAAAAAGTAAAAAAAAAAAAAAAATTTAAAAAGCCTCCTGGAGCACACGCGGCTTTCCTTGTCAAAGCAGCCCGGGTTTTCTCCCACCCGAGCCCCCCCAGAGCCCTGCAGACCCGGAGCAGCCCGGGATGTTCTGGGATGAGCAGGGTGGGGATGAGCCGGGCTTTGGTTCCCGTCCCCTCGGGAAGACTCGCCCCCGGCTGTTTACATCCCGCCGCACAGCGGCACAGCCTCCCAAAAAGTAAAAAAAAAAAAAAATTTAAAAAGCCTCCTGGAGCACACGCGGCTTTCCTTGTCAAAGCAGCCCGGGTTTTCTCCCACCCGAGCCCCCCCAGAGCCCTGCAGACCCGGAGCAGCCCGGGATGTTCTGGGATGAGCAGGGTGGGGATGAGCCGGGCTTTGGCTCCCGTCCCCTCGGGACCCCCAGCCCCTCCCCGGCACCTCAGAACGGCCCCGGCCCGGCCGGGGGTCCCGGGGGTCGCGGCCCCGCAGCCCCTTGGAGCTGCTCCTCCCTTCGCAGCCCCGACACGGCTCCACGTCCCTCCCTCCCTCCCTCCCTCGGCAGTTTTTTTATCATTATTATTTTAAAGGAAGCTGTTTCCAGCCCAGCTCTCCCCAGAGGGACCCCGAGTTCTGTTTTCCTGCCCTGATCATTCCTCTCCCGGGTCCCTGCTGTGCTCTTCCTCCTCACACCCCCAAAATTCCCCCCAGGAGCACCCAGAGACCCCAGAGCCGGCCCCGGAGCCCGGCTGAGCCCCAGCTCGGCAGACACGTGAAGCAGAAGGAAGAGGAGGGAACAGAAGGCCCCGCGCCGAGCTCTGACAGCTCTGGCAAGCCCAAACCTCGCATTTAGCATCGATTTGGGCTGCAGCACCATTTGGGGTTTGGCAGAGCTGCCATTCTCCTCCTCCACGTTTGGAGAGAGGAGAAAAAACCCCACATGGCGTTTGGGGCGCCCTTTCCTCAGCAGGTAACTGCATTAAAATGAAGATCCGGGGGGTTTGGTTGCTGATTGTGCCTCATTTTGTACTCGGGAGCTGCTCCAGGGCTCCCTCCAGCCTCCATTACGCCGTGCCAGGTGTTCAGCTCTCCTGGGCGCGCTCACAAGCTCTGGCTCAAAGTTCAGCCCCGATCTGCTGCCCTCCCCCTGCGGGGCAGAGCCTGAACCCTTCCCCGGCAGAGCCTGACCCCATCCCGGGCAGACCCTGACCCAATTCCTGGGCAGAACCTGACCCCATCCCCGGGCAGACCCTGACCCCATCCCCGGCAGAGCCTGACCCCTTCCCCGGCAGAGCCTGACCCTATTCTTGGGCAAAACCTGGCCCCATTCCTGGGGTAGACCCTGAGCCCATTCCTCGGGCAGACCCTGAGGCAGAGCCGGCAGATCCCGACCCCATCCCCAGCAGAGCCTGACCCCATTCCCGGGCAGCCCCTGAACCTATTCTTGGGCAAAGCCTGGCCCCATTCCCGAGACCCTGAGCCCATTCCTGGGCAGAGCCTGAACCCTTCCCCGGCAGATCCCGACCCCATCCCCAGCAGAGCCTGACCCCATTCCCGGGCAGACCCTGAACCTATTCTTGGGCAAAGCCTGGCCCCATTCCCGGGCAGAGCCTGACCCCATTCCCGGGCAGATCCCGACCCCATCCCCAGACAGACCCCGACCCCGTTCCCAGGCAGACCCTGACCCTATTCTCAGGCAAAGCCTGGCCCCATTCCTGGGGCAGACCTCGACCCCATTCCCGGGCTGATCCCGACCCCATCCCCACTCGGACCCCGACCCCGTTCTGGGCAGCTCCCGACCCCATCCCCACTCGGACCCCGACCCCGTTCTCGGGCAGCTCCCGACCCCATCCCCACTCAGACCCCACAGCCGTGTCCGTTTCCCCCTCGCTCCGTCGGTGCCGAGCAGCCCCGCGGTGCCCGGCAGGGAGCAGCGCAGCCTCTCCCGCACCTCGGGCTGCGCTGCGGAGCCTCCGAAGCGGCTGCAACGCCCCAGGGCAGCTCGGGGTAAGAACGGAACCCGCTGGGAAAAGCTTCCCGAACCGAGGCTGCTGCTCCATCACGCCCCAGACTGAGGCTGATGGCCCAGGGCTCCCTGAGTGTCTTAAAAACCCCAATTCCCTACGGATTTTCCATCTTCAGGTGCTCCGGGTGTGGAGTTGAACTGCAAACAAACCTGGGAGCAAGGCCAGAGGAGGGACAGAGCAGTGCCAGCAGTGTCACCTCCCCGGAGCTCTGACAGGGGTGTTGGGGAGGCTGGTGGTGCCTGCTCACACCACACCCGTGGGTGTCCTCAGGGGATGGATTTGGGGTGCAGCACAGCGATTTTGTTCCGAATCCACCTCAAAATGATCTTTGCTCAGAGCCCGTCCCCTCTCCCAGCCCAGAGCAGCTGTGGGCAGGTGCTGCTCCAGCACACAATGATTCCTCTCCCCCTGGGGCAGCCCTCTCCTGTCCTGCTGTCCCCTGTGTCACCCGAGCCCTGGGTGACAAGGGCCTTTGTTGGGCTTGGGACACAAACAGCCGCAGCTGAGGTGTCACACAAGGCTGTGATTGTCACAGCCCCAGGACAATGCCCTGTGGCCCTTCCCAGCCCTGGCTCCTGAGGAAGGCAGGCGGGTAACAGCACTGTGCAGCTTTATTGAGTCACTCGTTACAGCAGTATTTGAGCAGACTGGACAGTCAGAGAGTGTTGTTGGAAGTGTAACAGATATTCAGCATGGAACAGTTACCAGAGATTCCTTGCACAAGGTCTTACAGAGCTGATACAGTACTCGCCATCAACCCAGCAGCGAGCGCACTGGCGTAGAAAAGGATGCAACAAGAAGAAAAAGCTACACTGGAAAGACAACACTTTAGAAAAGTGACACATGGAAGGTCTCCCCTCTAGCCCCCAAAGCAAGTGTACAGTTTGGATCTAATTTTACAGTTCTACATCAGTTTCTAAGAAACGTAAAAAAAAAAAAATATATATATAACCGAACCAAAAGCAAAGATAAACCACTGGCCAGTACAGTCTTTGGATATTTGGAGGAGGGGGAGAGTCAGTTTCCAGAACGGAGTCAGTCGGTCTCGGCCTCGCCGGGGTCTTTGCCTTCTTTGTTCTTTCGAACCTCTTCCACGTGCTTGTCCTGGAAAACAGCAGCAGGAGCTGTGAGCTCCAGGGAAAGGGGCTCCAGGAAAAGGGGGGCTCCAGGGAAAGGGGGCTCCAGGGAAAGGGGGGCTCCAGGGAAAGAAGGGGGGCTCCAGGGAAAGAAGGGGGGCTCCAGGGAAAGAAGGGGGGCTCCAGGGAAAGAAGGGGGGCTCCAGGGAAAGAAGGGGGGCTCCAGGGAAAGAAGGGGGGCTCCAGGGAAAGAAGGGGGGCTCCAGGGAAAGAAGGGGGGCTCCAGGGAAAGAAGGGGGGCTCCAGGGAAAGAAGGGGGGCTCCAGGGAAAGAAGGGGGGCTCCAGGGAAAGAAGGGGGGCTCCAGGGAAAGAAGGGGGGCTCCAGGGAAAGAAGGGGGCTCCGGGAAAGAGGGGGGCTCCGGGAAAAGAAGGGGGCTCCAGGGTGAGCCCCAGGGCAGGGCTGCTCCATCTCCATCCAGCCCCGCACAGAGCTGCAATTCTGCACACTCCACAACCACACCGTGCCACCACAGCCCTCCCCGCCTGCCCAGGGCACCCTCCTCCTCTGGAGGTGATTTTTGGGGGGTTTTACCTACTTTTCCCAGCAGGGAGCAGGGGCAGCCCCCCACACCCACCTTCTCCCGCAAGCGCTCCAGCTTGGCGGCCATTTGTGCCTCGCGGTTCTCTTTGTTGGCTTCCATTTTGTGGGTCAGCTTCTCCTCTGCCATTTTGCTGAAGTTGTTGTTCTCCTCGATGGCTTTCTGCAGCACCTCCTTCTCGTGCTCCCGCTTCTCGGCCAGCTGCTTCAGCACTTCTGCCTCGTGGGACTGGAGGGGCAGGGCCGGGCTGTGAGGAGCCCCTGGGGGCTGCCCTCACCCAGCACCCACAGCCACCTGCAAAGCTCAGCTCCTGCACTACTGCCACACCTCCTTAAATGCCATTTTTCTGGAGAGGCAACACTGATATTTTGCTTTTTTTTTTTTTTGATGTTAACATGGAAAGAGGTTTCCTTGAGGAGCCCCCCTCTCAGAATCGCTGAGATTCAGGTCAGGCTCACTTCCATCAAAGCCTCGCCAGCCTCGAGGGCTCCAGGCTGCACCCCCAGCCACATCTTTCATCAGCCAGACAATTTATTCCCCAGCTTCTCATTACAGATTCACTGCTGCATTTTCTGGGAGAAAAATTCGTCTGTTCTGGTGTTAAAAGACAAGAAAAACAGCTTCTTCCTGAAAGAGCTGCCCCTCTCAGCTACGTTTCCTCCTAGTTTTTCTTCAGAATCTCTTTGGAACCAAAACCATGACCATAAAGCTTCATAAGAGCCCCAAGGATTTCATTAATATTCGATTTGCAATTAAAAAACCCACTTGTCCCAAGAAATAAATAAAAAGAGATCCTCAAAGCCCCAAATTTGGTGGAGCAGAGCTCACTTCAGCTGCTCCAGCTTTACCTTGCGTCTCTCCTCAGCTGCTTCCAACTTCTTCTGGATCTCCTCCAGTGACACGTCCTTCTTCTTCGGGGGAGACAGAGGGAACTCTGCCACGGCTTCTTTGGAGCGGGGGCTGAGGATCAGCTCAAAGGCCTGCCCAGAGGCTCGCTTCTCCAGCTCCTTCACCTGGATGTCTGGGAATGTGGGAGAGAAAAGCCACAAAAAAAGAATATTTTATGCAGGAACTGGCTCAGGTGACATTAAAAGCAGCCTTCCAATATTCAGCACCATCAGGTTCCCTGAGGAAGGGCAGCCAAGACAGGAGTTTTGTGGAAATTTCCTTTGCAAGCCCTCCTTGATCCTCCACCACCTGATGTTTCCATTTATCCTTCAGCATCCCAAGTGGTGGAAACAAACCCCTTAGTTCAGACCAAAAATCATCCTCCTTCCAGTAGCAAACCTGAGGATGAGTTTCCAGGCGTTTGCCTGCAACCTGAGAGAGCCAAGGAGGAAAAAAACCCAAATTTTGGGGGCAATCTGCAGGCAGGGCTGTCCCCCAGCCCTGCAGGGTGTCAGCTGCAGCGGGCCCCGACACGTCTCGGTGACAGGCAGCTCTGCCGAGGGAGCAGATGGCTGCAGGGAGCTGCAG